CCCGTTCAGGTCGCCGCCCCTCTCTCTCTCTCTCACACACACACACACACACAAAGAAACAAAACGGGAATGCATGTTCCCGCGAAAGCGGGTAGATGCATTCCCGTTTTGTTTTTCGAAACGATATTTTTCCTATTTCTTTGTTTTTTTTTGTCTTTTTTTTCCCGTTTTCTTTGCTGTGTGTACCTTTTGCACGTTCGGATCTTTTTTCTTATTTCTTTGTTTTTTTTTCGGTTTTTTTTCCCGTCTTTTCCGTTGTTCACGTTCTGCACGTTCGGCCGAGGCTCGGACTCGATAGCTGGGCGAGGTACTGGTGGTTTAAGGAAGCTGCAAGAACGAGAAGGCGAGTTACCTTAGTGTGATCACGATTACGAGGTTAGTGATGCAGTGGGTGGCGAAAGCTTATGACCCTCTTCATATCCCGCTGCCGCTTTCGCCCAGTGTGCCTTCACTCAGTTCCTTTCGGTTTTTCCAAAAAAATGGAATGGTAGCAGCTACGCTCCTTTGTGGTCAAAAGTACTACTTGCGTCCATCGGGCAGAAGGAGAGAACGTGAAAAATAGTGTTGGAAAATACAAGTGAAGATGGTCAACGAGTGAGTTGTGGGAGAAGATTCACGAGAAGCTGGTAAGAAAAATCGCGCGTGAATCAAATATAAACACAGGATGATTGTGTCATGCGGGCTTCGGTAGTTTATCTAATTGCTTCGCCAGTAGGGAAGGTGTCCAGGTATCTGCTTAGCCGAAGCAGGTTTTACTCTACACAGCCTGAAGGACAACTCTTTAAAAAAAAAAAAAAAAAAAAAAAAAAAAAAACAAAACAAACAAACAAACTCCCTTGGATCCCGGAGTGGATGTGACCGAAAATGTACGGTATGGAGCTGACTCTCTGCTAGGCCTCTGGATTCACAGGTACAAAAAAAAACTGTTCGAGGAGTTCTATAAAGAGAAATTCTGGATTTATTGGCGTAATGCATGTGAGGACGGAGTATTGAATCCGAGGAAGGAGATGCGTGTACATCTTGATGTCACGCTGGTATAAGCAAACTTATGTAACTGACAGGGAGCTTTGGGCAAGACGGGGGGGAGCACGTGGCGCGTTCGAAGCAAGCAGGAAGTAAGAGGGGTAGGAGGATTCCGTAGGAAGCTTTATGATTGGATGAGTAAAGTGGGGGTGCAGTGTCATGTGGCTATTCCAGTTTTGTTAGTGAGGAGAGCTTGTGTAGAATTGTGAGGACCCCGGCCTCGGTTCTTCAGGTTGGAATATATGAACGATATATATAAAAATTACAAAAAAAAAAAAAAAAAAAAAAAAGAGGTTGTGAGTTAGAAGCAGTTGAGCAGTACCTTGATTAACTCGCAGTCGCCCTCCTCGAACACGAAGACCAAGAAGATGGTGACGAGGGAGTGTGAGACTGTGGGAGGGGAAAGGTGGTGGTGGTGATGGGAGTGTGATGCATGCGGACTCGAACCTCCATCGAAGATTCTTGAATTGAAGACGGGGGAAGGAAGATGCCTCCGACAGTGAGAGTGGTGGGTTTGCTTCGGAGCCTAGTGAAGGTGAGTCACAATGGCAAGGAAATGACAGTGACGAGCACAGGGGAGTTGCATCGAGTGATCATTGGCGAGTGGTTTGTAGGATCTTCGGGGAGTCAAGTGTCAAAGTCAGTTGCAGAACAAGGGCACTTCATAAGTGCAAACGCGTATTTGAGATAGCCGGACCAGTCGTGCTACCGGTGGTAAAAGAAGCCTCTCCTATCAAGCCTCTAGCTGAAGAAGGAGATGTTGAGTATGTTCAAAGAGCACAGTTTCAAGGAAGCTGATAGGTGTGTTGTACGCACTACCCCAACGCCACAGAGTTGTTTGGACAAAAAAGTAGAGTAGGAGGAGGGCGAGGGAGTTCATCCTGAACGCATATAGGAATGGATATGGAATAAATAAATGGAGCCGAGTTGTCGTTAAGGTTCATTTTGATCAAGGATTGAAAAAGGCAGAAGTGGTTCGCTTTGTGAGATGGCTGGTCGCCCTTACAAGTGAATATTAGGAATGTTAGTGCACATGCGCCGGCAGGCCCTTCCCGAGTGCAGATGGGCACGTCAGCGTGTCTGACCGTTGCAACGAATTCGAAGAATGTTCCCAAGGATTGGACAGATGGACATTGCATGTCGCAGGAGTTGCGGTCGGCATTTTGTGATCTGGTTGCTAGTCTGACAGAGATCGACTTTACCAAAGCTGACGTGCGGACTTTGTACCGATGAGTCAAAGGTAGACCAGGTGCTGGTTACGACTTGGTATACGTGACTTCGTACTGACCACCCTAGATGAGAACCCGGGGCATGCTGTGGTGATGTGGCTGAGTGTATGTATTGCACCAAATACGTCTCTCTGGACTGAAAATTACACCAAAAAATATGGCTATAACGACCGGACGTTCTTTTCGGGTGAAGACGGGAGTCTGTTCATGCGTTGTACCAAAGTGGTGCAATCATCAGAACCACTGACGGACAACCAAGCACATCGGGCAAACCTACTTACGGCCCGGACCCTCGCACACAACGACCATGGACTGAATGCCTTGGGTGGTACAGTCGGTATCCGTAACCCTTACCATGCGCCAACCGGCAGGGGGTGTTCAAACGGTCGTGCAGGGGGTGTGCAAACCGCGCGGTTAACGCCGCCAGTGTCCATACCTGACCCAGCAGAGTCTTAAGCCCACAACCTCAAGACGACAACGCGCATTTCCAACCCGTGCTCTCTTTCTTGCACGAAGAGTGTGAACGATATATTGCTTCTTCAGAATAGTCTGTCATCATCCCAAGCTCGGTTTCCACCCCGTGCTCTCTCTCTTCCGGCATGCTGATTGCAAATTATCTATGCTTCTTTGTAATAGTCAGTCAGTCATCTTCATTTTCATATTTCTTCACCACAACGTTTCTCAACATATCCATACATCCTTCGCCGTTTGCGGTGACCGCCTACTGCACTTTCCCTACAATTCAGCAAGCTGTCAGAATTGAAAACTCAGTCAATCAAATGTCGTGCAGTGACACCCAGTGACCCCACCCCACCCCTCCCGCTCTCCTTGCTCACTACATACCACAAGCTTTCACCTCCACGCTAAATACTTGTTCCTCATTTATCCAAGTCAACCCCATCATACCACAAGCTTTCACCTCCACCCTAAATACTCATTCCTCATTTATCCAACGCAACACCATCTTCTTCACCCACCCCACCCCTCAACCCTGCCCATCTTCTTCACCCACCCCACCCCTCAACCCTGCCCATCTTCTTCACCCACCCCACCCCTCAACCCCTCCAGGGGAAATACCCCACGTAATAAGCCACCCTTCCAAATGCGTGCAATACATGACCCCCCACCAGAACAGAAATGAGACATCACCACCAGTCTTTTTCTTTTTTTCCCTGAGACGTCCCCAATCCAAAAAAAATCAGCCAAAGCAAGTGGCAATCATCCCTGGCTAGTCACACTGCCTCGAATAACACCTCACAAATAGCAAAGGGTGGGCATCCATTGCATCATAATACCCAAAAGCAATCCAGGTCTAACCAAGCCAAGACCAGCACCATCACGAAGCCGACCAGGTGCTGCCTGGTGACAACACGTACAAACAGTGAAAAAAAAATGTCCCCAGCCCTCTCCACCGGCACCAAAAGTTCCCTTTCATTAATGCGCTGCGCCATCCCAGGCACCCAGCAGGGTGGCCGGGGCAGCTGCGCCCACCGCATGATAACACAAGTACTTGCCCTGTTTATTAACAGGACTACATGCATGCACACGTAATCACCATGGGCGAAGACAGACGCTTGTGCCCATCGAACGAGAATCGTGTTAAGCTCTTGTCGCCAAATTGTACACAATCACCTGATACGATCGAGCCCCTCCCAACAATGCGTATGCATTGATCACACAGAGACCATGTTGTGCAGAAAAGTCGAAGCTACCCGTGCCATGCAGACAAGTTGAAGCTAAGTTTAAGCTACCCAACGTTCTCCAGGGAAGCCGAAGCTAACCCCATGTTGTGCGCGCAAGCTGAAGATGACCCAATGCTCCCCAGGGAAGTCAAAGCTACCCCCATGTTGTGCGCGCAAGTTGCAGCTACCCAATGTTGTACAGGCAAGTTGAAGCTAGCCCAATGTTGTGCAGGCAAATTGAATCTACCCATGTAGCACAGGCAAGTTGAAGCTACCCACCGTCGCACAGGCAAGTTGAAGCTACCCACTGTCGCACAGGCGGGCAACTTGAAGCTACCCACTGTTGCACAGGCGGGCAACTTGAAGCTACCCATGTCGTGCACAAAGTCGAAGCTATACACAATGTTGTGCACTCACTTGAATCCATATACACAATGTTGTGCACTCGACTTAAAACCATACACACAATGCCGTGCACGAAGTCGAAGCTATACACAATGTTGTGCACGCGAGTTGAAACCATATACACAATGTTGTGCACGCGAGTTGAAACCACATACACAATGTTGTGGATGCATGTTGAAGCTACACATGTGCAGTCAGCTTGAAGTTACTCATGTCGTGCGGCCAAGTTTAAGCTACCCATTCTGATCAAGTTGGGAGCTTTACCTGTGTTGTGCAGGCAAGTTTACGCCACCAGTACTTTTCCAGGCCATTTTTCTCCGATGCAGCATGGTCGTAGCCACCAGTTTCTCCACAATTGGCTAACAGGGGACCGCCACATTCAGCTTCTGACTAACAGGCTCTCCGAGTTTTGGGGGTCGACCTTCTCAACGTCAAAATGGCCGACTCCGCCAGTCAAAAGAAGGCCCGCACCTGTTCCCTTTTTTTTAATGCGCAAAACGTGCTTCCAGGCTCGGCAACAGTCAAAAAAGTACTGGTGGCGTAAGCCAATGCAGCTGATTTGGTTTGTACTCGTACTTCTACTCACCTCAAGTGCTGGAAGACTACCATCCTTTCTAACTCCTCACAGTTCTCCATAAGCCCACCGTTGCAGTTTGCAGCGAAAGCACAAACAACCATGACACGATTTGCATGCAGGGACATGCGAAAAGTGAGCAAATGTGCCCGAGCCTTGTGGGATTGTTAAGCCACCACTACCTTTCTCAGGCAACTGCGAGACTCTACATCGTAACACAACAGGTTTGGCTCTTCGGAGGCTCCGGGCTACAGGACGGCACAAGCCAAATACAAAAAAAAACGAGATTAAAAAAGGCTATGTTGGTGCTTCAGCAAAGCTCGCTGCACGGGGGTAATCCCCCTCGGCAAAAGAGACTTGAAGATAGTGATGGTTTACGCAGCACCGAACACCAATAACACCGAAGTCGACAAGTCCACGTGCATGCAACTTTCCATCCAGTTCACCCACCCCTGACAAGCATGACACCTTCACCCTCCCATTTGGGCCCATAACACTCCAATTCAAGCACGGGTGAGTCCTTCAGGAACCACACAAGACTTCAACAAAAGCTCTTGGACCTTGGTTATGTATATGATATGTGTTGCATACTTGCAGTTACACACTCAGTACACGGCCCCAGAGCCTCGCTGAAGAAGAGACTCCTCACCTGGAAAAATTGTGGAGGCTCGGCCTGCACCACCACAATGGCTGGAGGCCCCAGCCAAAATAGAAAAGAAGTACGCCGCTGGCAGTTCCGAAAAGCTTGGCGTGCACAAAGGCGCCGCAGGTCCGGGTGTACTGGTAGTTTTAAGGTACCGCCCAAAACGCGTATAGCGAGGGCCAGTCGCCAGTCCCACAGCATTCCTTTCCTTGAAGGAGAAAGCAACTGAGTAATTGTAAATCCTCAAGAGTGAAGGTAACAAAACCCAGCGCACTAAATACTTCATGCCAATACACGGACTGCCGACGTTGCATCGAAGCACCCATAACCGACATGCATGTGTGCATGCTGCACACATCTGCCCACTGCCCACACCATTACCTGCACTCCCACCCCACACACACAACAATCGAAGCAGATGTTCTCCATAGCAGTTGGGGTATGCATCTCACGCCACAATGCAAGTGCCAAATTTGTCACCGCCCACTCTCCCCGCCGGCTTTCACTCGAGTTCATCTTCCACTCTCCTGAACCCCCCTGCGTACATGCCACCACAGGCCCACATGCACACCCACAACTCCAGAAGTGCTTATGACAACGAGAACCTCAAAAGGACCAACACCCCCGGAGGCACATGCACCACTGCGAGCCTGCTTCCTCGCGCCTTCATTCATGTCAGTGCACCTACAACTTCGCAAACTGGAAACACATGGAACACGTTTTTTTTTCCATTTTCATTTCGACTAGATGTACTTGATTATTTCTGGGGTAGTGGGGACTAGAGAACAAATTCCCGTAACTCGTTCACTTCACAAAAAAGCGGCACCGCAAATCAAAAGAAAGGGGTGGGAGTGCCTTGGTTCACTCCACAATCTCAACTTCTCGCAAGAATAAACCAGAACACATACAAAGCTTGGACACTGACCGCTGCCACAAGCGAGCCCTCTCTCTCTCTCTGTGTGTGTGTGTGTGTGTGTGTGTGTGTGTGTGTGTGTGTGTGTGTGTGTGTAAGCACGTGTGTGTGTCTGTGCACAGGATCCACATGTGAGCCCTCTAGCTAGCTATCTGTACAGGGGTACAAGGTCGTCATGACATAAACAAAGGAAACAAGTGAGCTGCATACAAATCACCATCTAGGTGGGTCAAATATCAAAATTGCTCCACTGAATAGTCAGTCGATTAATCCTCTTTCCTTCGACAGTGGTTAAAGCCATCCTTGACTTTTGCAACTGCCTATTCCTCTTGCACCCAAGCCGCCATGGACGGAATGCCCCGTCAGCCCTCAGAGAACCCTCCTCCAGTGACTTCCTCCTCCTCCCAAACAGTTCCCATTGCTCTCAGTACATCAAATTGCTAAACCCTCCAGACTACAGCAGTCACCTGAAACAAGCACATGCCGTTCCCCACATCAGCTTGCTTTGGCCTGAAGCGGCATCTGTTCGACTCTTCTGTGCACAAATTGAAAGGATGATGAAAAAGAGGAACAGATTCTACCTGGACGTAGGTACAAATCAGTACGCACCCCGCCCCCACCCCCCCACCCCCTCCCCCTCTCCTTGCACCTGTTCTCTCCTCAAATCTCTGTTCCAAGCAGTGCACAGAAAAAGAGAGAATTTTACGGACAGCCCACCTTTGTGAGAAAAAGCACCCCCATTCATTTCACGTCGCGCAAATCTCTCTTCCAAGCAGTGCGCAGAAAAAGAGAGAGAATTACCAACAGCCCACCTATGTGAGAAAAAGCACCCCCATTCGTTTCACGGCGTGCTCACGCACACTGCACGCTCCGCTGACGAAAGCCATACTCCCTTGCCTGCATCTCTCCATTCGTCCACCTCTGCAGCTCCATCTTCCTCCCTTTTACACAGTCTTCGCATTTATGCTTGTATCCATGTAGCACTTCCATTCTTCGCCAATATATGCTTCCCTTGTCCATGTCCAGTTTCTTGCCCACCCTCCTCATCGAACACAGAAATCGCCATGTTGTCTGCAGCGTATGGAACACACCACTCGCTCGCAATATCAACCCATGCGGACGTTAACGCAGGCTATGGGACACACCACTCGCTTGCAACATCAACGCGGTGGGTCGGTCGCACTAGGCACTGCACAGCCCACAAATTTACCCTTGCGCCCTCAGGATACAGCACGCTTCTTTCACTGCTGCGGAGCATCCTAGACCACAGTCCTTAGAGGCACAAGATGTCAGAAGCTTGCAAAAGGCCCATGCAGGAACCACCACAATTACCTTCTACCCCGTAAGCCACCCTTGCTTACCAAGGCAGTAAATAACGCTCTCCGCCAGGTCTCTGCGCCCGGCATGGTGGGGCAACAAAGGCCTCCTGGTGATTGATCTACCCCGCATCGCCTTCTTCGCAAATAACCATCAATCGCCCTGAAAGACGAGGAGAGGAGAGAATGTGTAACAGAGGGACTGGTCTCTTATTTCGTTCTGGTCCTTCGCCCTCGTCATCTCCATTGCATCCTTCTTTTCCACTTTCAACAAGCGGAAGAAGACCAACAGCAAATACAATGCCTGTCTGAAGTCCGTCATGCAACCTCTTTCTTGTTGCAGAATTGGTAGTAGCACCCTGCTCAACAGTCATAATCACGAAGTAATAAGATACTATATAAACAAAGCCCGCGACCAGAGCAAAAGTGATTATACCAGACCTCGATCGCCAGTCACCTGTGCATGCAAACGGCACAAAACCGACAACGGCAACCCCACCCCCCGGTGACACCCCTATAAAAGAGGCCAACTCCAGACTAAGCCATTAAAAATCCGCAGGAATTGAAAATTCCAAACGATCTCAACAGAATCGAAAGGTCAAGCGACCATCAAAAGCCAGGAACCCTAAACAACTCAAATTGATCATCATGCCCAAGGAAAAACTAAAGCTCCTGGCTATATACCATATTCCCTCTCTCTCTGCACTGCAAAGAAATGAGAAAACACAAAAGGAGAGACCAGAAAAAACAAAGAAGCAGATTGGACCTTCCACTCCGACACCCCATGTCCTTTGCGAGAGGGAAAACCGCACACGGACAAGGGGTCAGGAGAGGGCATTTGATATGCCACCAACACCATACAGAAAGGTGGGGAACTACGGACGAATGAATATTAACCGGGAGAACGACAAAGGGCACAAACAGGGGAAATAAACCAGTAACAATGCTCTTCCGAGGCCACGACTACATGCCCCCTGTCCCTAAATCCACTGTACAGAGGGCTCTACTTGACACCCTAACGGCGGAAAAGAAAAGCGCAGCGCACACGCACCTGGCTTCCAACCCACCATTCTCCCATCTGCTTCCCCCAATTCAGGGATGCAGTTGTGTCAGGCAAAACCTGCTTTCTCCGAGAGCTCACCTGCTTGGTAACCACCCACCACCCCCCCCCCCAACTCCTACTCAGCTAGTCCCATGCACTACTTCCCCCTCCGGCACCGCCATAGCCACCACCGCCACCGCCACCGCCATACCCACCACCTCCCGCATACATGTTGAATCCCCCACCACCACCACCACCCCTGCTGCCTGACGCCTCCCTTCGATAGTCTCTGCCACCAAATTTGGATCCCCCTGATCGCCGGCTCCTGCCACCGCCAGTACTAAAGCTAGCCCTAGCATAATTCTTAAGCCACCCCGGGACCTCCTGGTTGCTCTCCTCCATCAAGTCCGACAGCGGACGGGCCAGAGACGTATCCTTCTCCGAGAAGAATGCAGTGGCCAACCCCGTCTTTCCAGCACGGCCCGTCCTTCCAATCCTGTGCACATAATCATCGATATCACTTGGGAGATCAAAATTGACAACATGTGCAACATGAGGAATATCGAGCCCCCGAGCTGCCACATCGGTCGCCACAAGAATGGGTGTCTGGCCAGTTCTGAAAGACCGTAGCGCCGCTTCTCGCTCCTGCAAAATCACAAGAGCAGACCATGACCACAATATCCAAGCATGGTGCTCAGTTCAAACACATTCAGTCCACCACCTTCACAGTTCCAAAACCCAGATGACACAACTACACCTTCACAATTCCAAACACAACTATGTCATAAGCCGCCTCATCACGCACATAACTTGACAATAGGGGATACAAGCAGTGCACAAACAAAAACGTGGTGGTCGAAACACAAACCCAGACACCATTAAAACACCATTAAAGCCGATTACTTTAAGCCGCCACTACACTCGAGCTCCTTTCCCCAACCCCGATTGCTGCTGCATGCCAAGAGAAACAAATTGCCGCAGGTGCATGGCGTTGGCTGTCATTTTTTACCAGCAGTTAAAGCCCCACCTGACATGGCAAATTAACCACCACATCAGAACAGGAAAAAAAAAAAAAAAAAAAAAAAACACTTCGTAGCGCACTGGTTGTTTACCAAGCAGTGCTACATACTACCACACCTGCCCAAGGACCAGAAAGGGATGTCCACGGGGGTGAGTGTAAGTGGAACTGCATTCTTTTTTCTTTTTTTTTGGGGTGGGGACCGGGGGGGAGGGGGGAGGGAGGGCAAAGGGAAGGAGCTACCGTGGAAACCAGTACATGGAAAGTAAGGCATGAATCTGTGTGTGCGTATGAGACGGAGAGAGAGACTTATGATCCCGAAAAACACGGACTGTTCATTTCTTCCCTGCTTTCCAAAGAAATGATTGCTTTAACATGTACCATAAACCACATCACAGCTGAAAGCCACTGATGAACACCCAGCAACAACAAGACGCCCTTCAACAAGCTGGGGTACATAAACTCCAGGAAAAATTGCCCTAAACAACCCCCTGACACACCTATCATATTCAACAAGTCATCAAGCATTCAGCTTTGCACATTGAAGCACGGCTCAAGACCTAACAACTATGCAGATCAGGTAAGGATGAGCAGACAGTGCAACACAGACCTGCTGAGTCCGATCTCCATGAATGGTAGTTGCAGGGAAACCTTGCCGACATAGCCAGTCCTCAAGCGAGTCCGCACCTCGTTTGGTCTCCACAAAGACGAGAGTGAGGCCCTGCAGACAGACAGCAAACAGAAATCACCAGTTAACAGAAGAATCGCATCACCCTTGCAGTAGATACCATGCAGAGGCATTGGAAGAGTGAACAGCCTTGAAATATCAGCATACGAAAACCGAAAACCGACACGCCATACATGCATCTGATCACACCAGCAAGCAGTCAACAGTTCAATACATTGCACCTTCTCGTCCTCAAGACGCTGGGTATGTATCCAAATGGCGATGCGAATCCACCGCCACGAAATAAGAGTGGCAAAACAAAGTCTGACATTCCCCAGTCCCTCCTCGATGAGAAACACCACAATAAAAAAGCGCATAACATCAGACATTTCTATCCCCTCTGCAAGTACCGTTCAGGAGTTTCTAGCTTACATCGACTGAGTGAATAAGGTCCATGAGCATGCTTCGCTTGTCCTGCTGCGGAACGAACTCCACGTGCTGGACAATCAGGTCCGTACTGGATCCAACCCTCCCGACAGCAAGGAAGACATAATTCCCAAGGAAGTCGGCTGCAAGTCTCTGCACCAAATTCGCAGGAAAGACAGGCACAAAACCACAGAGCATTGGTATTCAGCACCAAATGAAAACATAGTTTTCAAAGATCCACTACAAGTCTATCGAAGGAAAGAAAGGCACAAAACGACAGAACAAACGTATTCAGCACCAAATGAAAACATAGTTTTCAAAGATCCACTACAAGTCTAGTTTTCAAAGATCCACTACAAGTCTCTACACATGATAGCCAGAAACAAAAGGGCATAATGCCAAAACGAGTGGTGGGACAGAAAGGCACAAAACTGCAGAATAGAAGTACTCAACACCAACAAAACCACAGAACAGACGAACTGAACATCATATAAAACATAGTTCTCAAGAAGGTCCACTGCAAGTCTCTCTAGACACGATTGCCAAAAAAAAACTCTAGACACGATTGTCAGAAAAAAACAAGTACTGTCAACTTCAGCACAGACACTTCATAGTTTGCTGTCACAAGCACCCTGTGAAACCTGTCCAAGGAGATGACGATCAGACAGCATAGACCACGTCTCCCGATACCCAAAAATAACTTAACACCGCTGATGGACGCAGTGCGGAGGTGACTCCTCGGCATTTTTCTTTTCTGCTTTGCATGGATTTTACTGGCCATGCCAAGCAGAAATGCAGACTTCTGCCACTGAACTGTTGCCCATTATCACACCAACCTGCGGAACCTTGTGATTGCACACCCCAAGCCTTTCCCCCCGTCAGCTCTTCAAGTCTACGCATTCAATGCCACACGACACAGTAGCAAAATTTCTGCTATTTCCACGATAAATCTAATCGGTACCCATCCGCTCCTCTTCCCTCCCACCCTCAACACACGTATCTTCATAACTTCCTTGAGCTCCACAGCCTTGAAACCCTTACCATGACTATGCTAGTACCATCGTCCCCCCCCCGAGAAATAGAGCGGATATGAATTCTCTCTCTTCCAACAGACAGGTGGCGGTACATCAGCAAGAGGGGAATCCCGACCCTAATAATGGAGGGCTTACTGGTGAGTCAGTGTTCGCACATTGAAATTAAATGTACTGAGTCAGTGTTCACACCACCACAACAGGTTGGATGCATGGCCAAATCATGCAGTGACACGCCGATCAACAGCGACAGCAGACGTTGTACAAATGCTAGAGCTTGTAATGTGGTAGGGAAAGGCATCAAATCTGATAAGCAATTCGACTAAAAAAGAAGGGACCTGCCCAAAATATGTGCACCTTTTCGGTTCGCTTTTGGTCGGTGCTAAACAGGACAACGCGCTGCTCCAGACCTGTCAGTACAGTTACTCAGGCTACGCTCTTACCTCATATAGAATGTGCGGTCGTTGTCGCTGTACCTATAGACTCGTCGTCACCCCAAATACAGGCCTAATGATTGTACGCTCTACCCAAAATATGTGCACCTTTTCGGTTCGTTTTTGGTTGGTGCTAAACAGGACAACGCGCTGCTCCATCAGACCTGTCGGTACAGTTACTCAGGCTACGCTCTTTCCTCGTATAGAATGTGCGGTCGTTGTCACTGTACCTATAGACTTGTGGTCACCCCAAATACAGGCCTAATGATTGTACGCTCTACCAAGGAGAAGATGGCAGGAACCTCATATAGAATGTCACTGTACCTAGACTTGTGGAAACCCCAAATACAGGCCTAATGATTGTACGCTCTACTAAGGAGAAGATGGCAGGAAGGTAAGGCAAGTGTGGTATTTCTTCCATCAGGGGGGCTAACATGGCGAACCCGCCACAGAAAAGGACAAGCAATGGCCAAGGCTGCCTTACCGAATAATCCCCAAACTATAACAAATGAAGCTGCAGCTTCTCAGCACCATATCTCCCCTTAATTCCGCTGTTTCTCGCAGGAAGGTGAGGCAAGTGCGGTATTTCTTCCATCAGGAGGCTAACATGGCAAACCCGCCAAAGAACAGGACAAGCAATGCCCGCGGCTGCCTTACCCAAAAAAACCAAACTATTGAACAAATGAAGCTGCAGCTTGCGTCCCAAACAGGAAAACTGGCACAGCCTGCGAATGCCCGAACCTAATCTCCACACATCTTGAACAACCAGTGTCGGCATCTCGGGATCAGGATGACACAGGTGCACAGAGATTCGTGGTCACATTGTCATCCAGCAGCACCCTCCCACCAAAAAAACCCAAACTATTGAACGAATGAAGCAGCAGCTTGCATCCCAAGCAGGAAAACTGGCCCGAACCTAATCTCCACACATCTTGAACAACCAGTGTCGGCATCTCTGGATCAGGATGACACAGGTGCACAGAGATTCATGGTCACATTGTCATCCAGCAGCACCCTCCCCACCCCCACCCTCAGAGATTGACCTGTAATCTATTTGCAAATGCCAAAGGACAATGCCCACCCACTATGCTAATACGATCTCCATCACAGGCGACAGCTAGTCCATGCAAAGAGACCCTGCCTTGGAAAATGCAGGCAGGATGTTACATCTTTGACGCCACACAGGTCCTACCGGACCCGACTTAGGGCCAGAGGGACACAGTAGGGCCTAAAGGCCCAGACTTGGGGGTACAGCAGGCCGAAAGGCCAGACTTTTGGACCAGACCGACGGGGGCCCAAACGACATTCTCGTTTTGGGCCTGGCGGCGTTTTTGAGGCTGCCGCCCGCCGATCGGATCTGAACCATCAATCTTGACGGTTCAGGTCACGGCCAGGCCTCGCAGCATTGAGGCCGGCCTCGGCCCCACCGGTACTTAACACCGGTTCAGCCTCATTATGAGGCATCGAGCCACTGGCATGCTGCATCAGCGCCAGTGCGTATCGGTTGAGGCAGAGCGCTAATATTAGCGCAGGAGCGAAGCAGCAGCAGCAGCGCGAGCTAGCACAGCAGCAGCAACGAGCGAGGAGCCAGACAGCATCCATCAGTAGCGCGGCGGCCATAGCCGCCTTCGACCTGCAGTCGGACACCGCCTAAGCCAGGTACCAGGAGGCGAGGGGTTCTTCTCCTCCCTCCACGGCCCCAGGTTCTCTCCTCCTCACCTCCTCCTCCTCTGCCATCTCTTCTTCTTCTTCTTCAGACTTCTTCTTCTTCTTCTTCAGACTCCATCTTCTTCTTCTTCAGACTGGAGACTTGATACAAGTTGGACAGAGATCAGTGTTGGACTTCGGTGGTAAGAGGCTGTGGTACTTACCGGATTCGAGACTCGGAGATTGTTGGGGTTGATACTCGGCAGCACCACAGATTGGACACCGGTTACATTAGGACTCTGTATCTCCGACATTGGTGACTTATTGTCCACGACATTTTGATCTTGTTCGATGACATTTTGGACTACCATATCGGTGACCTACTGGATTCTATCTCGTTGACATCTGGCGCTACCTACATCTCCCACCTCCGTCTCTCCTCCCACCTTCATCCGTGTATGCCTGTACGGGGCCTGAGCATCGTCTATGAATGACTAGACCCCACCATCTCACGATTGTTTGTGTGTGGAGTGATATCTGTGTGAGTCAGCCTACGTGAGTCAGTCCGTTTATCAGACTCCCGCTGCATATGCTCATCCTATATTGGTTGATCTTTGGTTCTGCTCGTACTTGTTGAAGTATGTAACACAGGATGAGAGATCCATTCGATATCCGGGAGAGAGGCACTTGAGGTTGCACTTCGTAATGCACCGAGAATGCCTTGCAAAGTCCGAAGCATGCACTTGGCAGTAACCCTACACATCCCTCACATTCTCCATATACTTTCCACTGAGCTGTCCATTCGATGCGATTTACATAACAGCCCTGACCATGCCGTACCCGTTGACTGAGACCCTGGGTAGCCAGCCCATAGAATCGTCAAGAAGAAACCAGAAAACGCATTCATAAACCCAAAATTTATGTTTTGCCTGCAGGACCTGCACAGCCCCTTTGACACGTGCGCACGCACTGGAGGGCCAACACGACAGACATCCCCATTCCATGAAGCTCTGCAGCTGACTTTCAACCGACACCATGATTTTAGATCATCAAATGAAAAACAAACAGAGCTTGACCTCAAAACCCATGCTCACACAGAAGCCTAACCTCAAAACCCATGCTCACACAAAATCGCATAGAAACCCATTCTCACACAGATGCCTAACCTCAAAACCCCATGCTCACACAAAATCGATAGAAACCCATGCACACACAGAAGCCTAACCTCAGAACCCATGCTCACACAAATCGCATACAGCACAAAGTTCTAAATCTGTTAAACGGAGGCTCGGTTTTCAGTGAGATCAGTCATGTCATTTATAAGAAAAGCCAGAAGGCCTTTTTAACCAAACTTGCCACCAAGCGATAGAGTGGACACCAGATTCATTAACAGCAAAAGAAAAACGGAAAGGTAAACAACAACAAAAAAAAAAACATAACTGAAGACAAAAACGCACTTTCATGCAAAATAAGCCAAAATTTGATTCAATCGAAAACTCCAGAAATTTCAGAAAAGCCAACATATATTTCCAATACTCCGAAGGCCACCAGATTTGGCACCACACAGCAACCTGACCTTAGACAAAAACAGGCAAGGAAAAAAGACAGAAAACAAAACCGAAAAAGGACCCTCAAACCCTAATTTCCGTTTTGAATCCATTATAACCAGGGGCTCACAATGACTGTCCAGGTCAACCACCTGTGCAATTTCCACTCATGCTGGCAGCTTTTCCTGTTCAGCCTGAGAACATTTCCCATCCCAGAGCTATTGCTTTGCAACAAGACAGTTACGATATGAATGCAGTCACGATAGGAACCTTGAACGAATCTCTCCAGCCTATGCCGAGAGACCCCTCCCAGTTCCAATTCCAGATCCATGGAACCTGGACCTCTTACAGTTACCAGTCCACATACATGGGACCTGGACCGCTCCCAGATACCAGTCCACATACATGGGACCTTTCAGCACGGCATGCCCGGAAAGTTATACCCAAAATGACCTTGCAGGGAGCCCACCTCAAGGGGCATCCACGGGTAGCGGATGAACATACAGACTTGCACGGAGGGCACCCGAGGGGGTAGGCACATACCCCCCCCTCCACATCCACAACATGTCCGACATACAGCGCAACAGGAGCACAAACATACACCACCATGTACCACGTAATTCCATAACAATCTGAACCCTGGCTGCTATCCACCAGAGCTTTCCTGGGGACTGGTTATCGCAAACAATGCGAACATGTCTTTTCCAGATACCATCAGAGGCATGCAACTGGGTGGCAATGCTACTGTCTTCACCCGAATAGAACGCCCGGGGTCATTATAGCCGTATCTGGTGCAATTTTCAGTCCAGATACAGCTATAATGACCGGGCGTTCTATTCGGGTGAAGATGGTAGCCAGTTCCCACAAGAAACGCATGCGATGTTGACATGTTTCACATCCGAGCGAGCGACAATGAGGCAACAAGAACAATATCCCTGTGATCAGAAATTTCAGCTAACTACGCGACGAGCATTGTAAAAAGTACCACCAACTGAACACGCCAGTGTTACTCAGACAAGGCATCATCAAGTCACCCTAAGGGGAAAAAAAAAAAAAAAAAAAGGATCATTTACCCAAGCCATGCATGCAAAGAAGTCGAGAACGAGAGAAGGGAGAGAGTCGTCGCTGAGGAGAAGGAAGAGGGGGCTGAGTTGTGCGGACAACTGGTGCTTGACATTAATTTTGAAGCACCACCCGTGCAAGGAAGTCGGCTCTAGATGACACGTACCTGAATCTCTTTTGGAAAGGTTGCACTGAAAAGCATGGTCTGCCTATATCCGACACCCGGCATGTCTTCCTGCTCCACAATCTTCCTGATCTGGGGCTCGAAACCCATGTCCAGCATTCGATCTGCCTCATCAAGAGCGAGGTACCTCACTTGGGACAACGAGACTCTTGCTCTTTCCAGAAGATCGCTTAGTCGCCCCGGCGTTGCCACAAGAATATCGCACCCACGCTCAATTTCACGGAGCTGCACGAAAAAGGATAGCAAAACAACACATACGAAGACCATCATCCATCATTCCATTGTCAGCAACCTCCACCTGTTCGTTAGACTAGATAAAGAGAGACACACACGTCAGAAGGAAAACACAATAGTTCAATGCACAAAACAGAATGCCCACAAGATACCTCGCGCGCGCGTGGGCCCAAAAGACAAGACTGGATGCGTTTGCTCTTTAGACTGGAAGGCATTCCAGATATACAGCTATAATGACCGTACGTTGTATTCGGGGGCAAAGAAGAAGGCTCATGCATGACTTCTCCTTGCGAGCCATCGTATTCCAAAAACCTCAAAAACAGCATAAATGATGACAACATAGAATATCATCGTTTCCACTTCTCTCCACATTCATCATAAAGCTGCCTTCTTCCCCCGAATACAACGCATGGTCATTATAACTGTAAAATACATACATAACGACTGTGCATTGTATTCGGGGGAAGAAGGTAGGTACATCACTACTGTAAAATACATACATAACGACTGTGCATTGTATTCGGGGGAAGAAGGTAGGTACATCACTTGAGCTTTCCTACAACTGGCGTTCTTTCCTGATCAATTGCCACGCGTCTAGGAGTCTTTGCACGGATCAAGAAGTAATAACTGAGGAACCGAGTTTGACCTTGGACACGGAATAGTACTGACTGCATGCTCACACTAAAGCCTTTTCCATCCGCCATTCGTTGTCGTTTCCACGGAGCTTCATCGAGCAATCAATTCTCTCTGCTTGATTCCTCCGCAAATCCATCCGCTAAACACGCGATTCAAGATTCAATCGCTGGGGAAAGTTTGTCAAAGCATTTCATCAGCCGATCTATCAAATCAATAACCACCATCCAGAGGAATGCGCGAAAAAGAACAAGGGGCGAGCACGTCGAAACCACGGCCTACCTACGAGGCCGAGTCAGGCAAGACATAACAAGTGAAACGATCAAGTGCCAGGTCAGTCAACCCGCAAAGGTCGTACAAAAAAAGGCCAAACTTCGGTCAATCCAGACTACAATCAGCAGAAATGTCGTTGTTGCACCCACGTAGTAGGAGGCATCGGCACCTGGTGGCGCCGGTAGCAACCAGTACCAACCAGGTCCACACAACTCCAGCCAGCCGCTTCAACCAGCTTATTAGGGAACACCAACACCAGATCCAGTCGGGTTTGAACCAGGTTCAGAATCTCGGAAAGCTCCACCTGGGTACGCTAGTGACCAGTACCAAACCAGGTCAAAAAAACTTAACCAAGCTGCTGCCACCAGGTTAGAAACAGTCATCAGATCCAGTCTGGTTTGAACCAGGTGCAGGTCCAGTCTGGTTTGGACCAGGTGCAGGTCCAGTCTGGTTTGAACCAGGTGCAGGAACTCACAAAGCTCCACCCGCGTCAAGTCGATCGCGGTCTGATGCCAGTAACCAAGCTGCTGCCACCAGCTTAGACAGTCATCAGATCCAGTCTGGTTTGAACCAGGTAAAGGTCCAGTCTGGTTTGAACCAGGTGCAGGTCCGGTCTGGTTTGGACCAGGTGCACTCACAAAAAAAAGCTCCAACCGGGTCAAGTCGATCGCGGTGAGATGCCAGTCAAATGCAGCCAAAAGGGCGCAGAGCTGAGTCTGGTTTGAACCAGGTGCAGGTCCAGTCTGGTTTGGACCAGGTGCAGGTCCAGTCTGGTTTGAACCAGGTGCAGGAACTCACAAAAAAAAGCTCCAACCGGGTCAAGTCGATCGCGGTCAGATGCCAGTCAAGTGCAGTCAAAAGGGCGCAGAGCTGGGTGATGAAGACGTGAACCACGGTACGCAAACAACGACCAGAGTCCAACGTATAGACCACGTAGACTACGTTGGGGCAGAAGTGAGACGTGCGCCCTACCCTAGACCACGATATGCAAACCAGCAGAGTCGACAGTCTTAGCTGAGAGTGATCATAGGCGAAAATCAAATTTGAGGGTTAAGCCGATGACAACATTGGATTGATAACTATCAGATAGTGATGTCATGAAGCTGGACAAGGCAAAGGGTTAGGGCATATCACTTCGGTCGAACTAAAGGGGGCCTAGTTGCACCCCACTAGCCATCCGCCAGCATTCTGAATGCAAATGGACGTAGAGTTTGCCCAGATGCATTCAGAATCTTGGCGGATGGCGAGTAATGCAAATCGGCCTTAAGATATCTTGATTCCGGAGTTACACAAAAAAAAAAAAAAAAGCCAAGTACGAGCCTAGCATTTGTTGCAGGCGGGAACAACCAGGTCAAATAGGTCGAAAAAGTCAACGAGTCATACAGACAGTTACCATCTCAAGCTCTGTCTACACAGCGGCCTTCTCTATCAAATACCCACCCACCCGTAATATAAAAGTGCAGCCGCTCTGAGCCACGGACCCCTACCCTATTTCCCCGGGCACAAATCACCATCATAATGACTGTATTTGGCTACGAAAAAAACTCTATACATTTCTGATGACAGGGAGTTCGGCTTTCTGAGCGTTTTGTCATTTTCATTTAAGATAAATAACAAACGCATATATGAACAACAACTTACCTACACGCGGCTTCTACTAGCAGTGGTTAGATTCACCATACTACCTTCTTCCCACGAATACAATGTACGGTCATTACAGCGGTATCTGGAATATATTTCAGTCTAAATACAGCTAAAATGACCGCACGTTGTATTTGGGGAAAGAAGGTAGCAGTGGTTATAGATTTCATCCGTCGATCGGTCAAGCTTTTGAAAGACGTTTTTTGTACTAGAGGTATCTGGATTATATTTCAGTCTAAATACAGCTAAAATGACGGTACGTTGTATTCGGGGAAAGAAGGTAGCAGTGGTTATAGATTTCATCCGTCGATCGGCCAAGCTTTTGACAGACGTTTTTTGTACTCGAGACCAAAGCGTGATGGATTTGCCAATCACAAAAAAAAGGCGGTCCACAACCGCCACAATCAACCCCCTCCGATCAGGGAAGAACCCCTCGTCGAGGCAATCAAACAAAAAAAAGGCGCTCCACAACCGCCACAATCAACCCCCTCCGATCAGGGAACCCCTCGAGGCAATCATCAACTACCACGTAATGACTCCCAAAAAAAGTAATCCAACAAAAAGTGAACAACGACAAACCAATTTCCCCAACCCCACGAGAGAGAACAAGGGCTTTTGTGAAAACATACTTCACACAGCGATACTGACCGTACGTTATATTCGGGGGAAGACCGCAGAGTGCCGACTACAAGGCAGCGGATGGATACCCTACCTAGCGCCGACGATTGCCCACAAAGTAAGATTATGATGACGACTTCAAATGAACTACTGGAACGATGACAATATCAAGAACACAACAAACCAACCCCGCCGATGCATACATATTATTCTTCAAAATAACTGTGCATCTCAAAGATGCCCTATCGTACGTACATCTTTGAACGGTCTGTAAAGGAAAACATTACTCGACAGATGGAGAGCGTACTGATCATAACTCGCTCAGGGACAAAAGGAGAGCGTACTGATCATAACTCAGGGACAGAAGGAGAGCGTACTGATCATCACTCACTCAGGGACAAAAGGAGAGCGTACTGATCGATTACATATGTCGATGCTGACCGCACTCGATTGCCAAAAGGAGAAACCCACCAAAACAGGCAAAAGCCCAAAACCCTGTCATTGGGCAAAATACACTCACACTCGACAGTTTTCGAGGCTTCTGCACCCAAATTTCTCTCCATCACCCAACCACCGCAAACGTGAATTTCCAAAAAGAAAACCTTTCACAAACGCGCCAAGTTCAGAAAGACACAACCAACTTTAAAAAAAAAAAAAAAAGAAAAAGAAAGAAACACACAACCCCCAACCCCCAACCCCCAACCGTTCAGGTCCACTGTCCCTGTCAACTCTCCGCCGCGAAAGCACAATAGAGCCGATACATGAACAAGACCTCACAGCTCTACAGCACGCACTCCAGCCATCCGAGCGACAACATGTCATCTCTGATTTGAATAGTGATGACCAAACCGTGTGTCAAAATCTTGATACAACGATAAACCAGTGTAGACGAGGGCGGTGAAAGACACATCTGCGACTTCATTTGGAGCCCAAGCGGAGAGAGTGTCATCCGACAGCAGTCCTGCCCATTCATTCACGGCGGTTACTACCGTCTTCACCCGAATACAACGCACCCTCATTTTGGCTGAATCTGGCGGGAAACATAGCTTGTATTCATTCATTTTTAGGGGGTGCGTTATGTTCGGGGGAAGACACGGGGAAGAGGACGAGCAACAAGCGGCCATTCGCGGGTCCAAGTTGAGGTAGGTACTGGGTACACGGTGCTCCCTTCCACGTCGGGATCAAGCGGAAAACCACAAAACCCCGTGGCATTCGCCACCTGCACCGACAAGCTAGCTGTACTGAGAGAGATGCACAGCTTCCACGACGGCGACTGGAGCAGAATATCAGGGCTGGCAAACGTACAACAGAGACTGCGAGTAATGTCTCGAGTAGGAGCATACATCTGCACTGTCTACATATGCTTATAGCTTATAACGGCGGGTGGGATATGCGGCCATAACCACCTCCTCCTCCTCTGTCGTCATGGTGCCAGTCTTGAATGCACGAAGGGGCAATCAGATGATAGGGCAAACCAATTCTTCACAGTTTTGTTATATCCAATGAAGTGACGTCTTTATATCCACTGCCCTTCACAACGAAGAATACTACTAGATACTCTCGAGCGAGGGGCAGTGACATGGTATAGGGCAAACCCACCTGTCCACAGTTTCTGTTTGTCCAACAATAAAGGGCCATCAACGCATCTGCTGTCCTTTATACTCCCCCCTCCTCCCACAACGAACATATTCGATATTAGGGCTTCATCGTGCGCCATACAGGCCTCAAGATGCGCACTGACCCTCTCGAGATATCCCGTGCAAGCGCATTTCCACCCCAAAGACACCCCAAAGTCATTTCTCCAAACGTCATCATAACATACACAACAAGATGAGACAGGTAATTGCCATTACTTTACCTGATTGACGACTGGCGCACCTCCATAAACGACCACTACTCTCAGCCCAGTCTGAAATGCAAACTTCCGTGCCTCATCGTTAATCTGCATTTAATCATCAAAACCCCACACAGAACAAACCATACATAAATCAGTAAAATGCGCGCAAACGGCTGCCACAAGAGGGGACACATAACGAGCATATCTTTATGAAGGCATGGGTCCTGCACATGTTCTTCGACATGCACACGGCATTTCTTCCGTCGTCGTCAGCAGCACGGACGAAGAAAGATTGCGCTTATCATCCCCCAACGCACAATCTCCACTCTCGCTCAAACATGACAGGCTGGCTGCACAGGGAAGAAGAACACGGCACAACAGGCAGGGGGAGCACAGCTTCGTATTGACATCGCGAGCCGTAAACGGCCTTCAATCATTAACCATCCACGTGGTCTGGCGAAGAGACAAGAATCAAAAAAGATAGACATGACATAGGGATAAAAAAAGGAGTGCGAGCATAATACTCTCATCAGGCTAGGGGCCTCTCGTGGAACGAATCTATCCAACATGACGGCCAGGTTCGATCCAAAACGCGCCGGTGAGAGTTTTATTATGCCCTAACAGAGTGGACTGCTGAATAAACGCCGGTGAGAGTTTTATTTGCGAAGGACCGACGCTAACTAATGACAAGTAGCGCCTGCTAAAAGAGAGAGAGAGAGAGAGAGAGAGAAGATCTCCTGCATATGCTTGTTCAGACCGGACACGAGGTAACAGAAGAGAACGAACGGCAAAGAAATGGAACGTGTTCTAGATTAAAAAAGAAAAAAAAAAAAAAGGAACGTGTTCTAGATACGCATACGACAAGGGCAAAGAAGAATGACGAAGAGAACGGAACGGCAAAGAAATGGAACGAGTTCTATATACGCATGCGACAAGGGCAAAGAAGAATGACGAAGAGAACGGAACGGCAAAGAAATGGAACGAATTATACATACGCAATGGGAAAAGGGGAGGGAAGAATGACCAGGGAAATGCCGAAAAGAACGAAGAAAAGAAGTGACAAAAAAACTTTTCTTGTAAGAGCTAACGATTAATATTACACAAGAAATTCAATGGGACGGGAAAAGACGAGTACGCACGACCTCACACACACGCACCTCACACAGACAAAAACTAAGTTTTCGATTACAGCACAGCTGGCATGATTTACGCCTTGTAGCAGAGCGTGTTGGGAATCATCGAAAATGCCGACGAAGGTCATATTGTTCGGGCTGTTGAACGAAATGGGAGAACCGTACTAGAAACAACAGACAATAGGGCGCAAACCTTTCACATGAAACAGGATCAACACATACCAAGGAGGAAAAATACCAAAAAAGCCAGGGCGGGTACAATTACAGCCAAGCAGGCAGAAGTATGAATCACAGAGAGGCAGGCATGCAGTGAGCTGCTCCAGTAAACTGTTAAGTAAAGCGTCTAGCGTTCCATTCCATAATAGTAAATGAGCATTCCATTCATGGCACAACACGTCATCATCCATCCATCATGTTGGTAATAAGCGGGGATGCACAACTCCCCGAGATCAAGCAGTCCAAACGAGAGCATCATAACCGCCTGACCAGCCCCGCTTCACTTTCATTGCCAACCCCCCACCTCTCTCCTCTCTCCGCTCGGTCAAAAGTCAAAAGTCAAGTAAAGGTAAGATTGACAGAGACGGTCAAACACATGACTCTTTCGGTGGTGAGGACGCCAAACCGACGAATAGAAAGAAACCCTTCAATCAGACACCCGTCGAAAGAGGAAGTATACAATTTGTTAAGAAGAGGAATCGGCGGCGGGAAGTATACACTTACTAAAAAGAAGTCATAGGAGGAAAAAGGAAACTCCAGAGGACAGGTCAACGGGAGGACTCAACAATTCGGAACCGAGAACAAAATCACGATTACATCACGGAAAGAGGCCAAGAAAGAAGGCGAGCGAGAAGAGCGCAAACTGCCATGCGCAGAGCGGAAACAGGGCGCATGTCCTCGACGAGCTACGCCATCACACAGCGTTGACGGCAGACTCGTGAGCCATTAAAAGGCAAGGCGAAAACGTGACCGACAGAGCGGAGACAAACGCCATATAGGGAGTTACTTATTACAAGACGAGGACAGAAACATCTTTGAGAAATACGAATCGGACAGCATGGCATGGCTTGCAGACCAGGCATGGCAAGGAGGCAAGTCATTACACCAAGACACAGGAGATAGCACAAAAGCAAGGGACACGGCGGGTAGTAGACAGGGTGAGGCATATGGACAAGGCATGACATGGAAATAACGGAAGTCGTGAGAGGGACACGGCGGGTAGTAGACAGGGTGAGGCATATGGACAAGGCATGACATGGAAATAACGGAAGTCGTGAGAGGATAGACAGATGGCACGCAACCATGCCATCCGCGCACGACAGCAGCGGATGACGTAACGGCATGGCATAAAAACATGGAGGGCAGGCACCGGATGGGAGAGACAAGGTATTCTGAAGAGGCAAGCACAGAAAACACGACAACACTTTCTGTAGAAATAGAGTGACAAGAAACGGCAAGACGGCCGCCGACGAAAGACCGTGAGACATGTACATAGACGGCAAGAAAGAGGGAGAAGTGTAAAGCAAAGAAGCGTGGAACAAACATAGATAAACTGAGGAGATAGAAGCGAATCGTCGGCGACGAGACGAGAAAAAGGAATACAAACAGACAACGCGACCAGCCCGAGGGAAAGGCGACACTTAAGAACGCCATCAGTCCAAGGAACTGAGACATCCCAAACTGCCTCTCTCTCTCTCTCTCTCTCTCTCTCTCTCTCTCTCTCTCTCTCTCTCTCTCTCTCTCTGTGTGTGTGTGGGGGGGGNGGGGGGGGTGGGGGGGGCTTTATCTTTTCCCCACAACCACGGCTCGGTCTCTCGATCTACCTCTTCCTGCACTTCTATTATTCCCTCATTCTCGTCATATTCCATCTTCACGCTTCTCTAATATTCCTCCATGAGTCTTCCTCTCTCCCCCATGCTGCTTGTCTGTGAGGGTGCTCCAAAGACATACAATGATGAACCAACGCTCGGTTCTCTTCACCAACCGCCCGTATCCCTTCTCCGCCACAGTCAAGAGGGGGAACAGGCGAGAGCTGAAAAACGTACTGCACGTACAACAATCGAAAATGATTGCACACCCATCATCCAACCGCAATTGACGCAGTGGACGTAAAGAAATCGACGAAAACACCCTCACGGAAACGGAGACATCCATGGATAGAGGAAGACAAGGGGACAGATTTTCCCTCACCTGGCTTGCCAACTCCCTCGTTGGAGAGAGAATCAACGCGAGCGGAAAGGCCTTCCGCCCACCCCTTGGCCTGTTGGGCGGCGGCGAGCTGAGGATTCCCGCAATGATTGGGAAACAGAACGCCGCCGTTTTCCCAGATCCGGTTTGCGCACATGCCATAAGATCTCTTCCAGCCAACGAAATGGGAATGGCATGCTTCTGCACGGGAGTAGGTTTCGTGTAGCGGCATCGTTTGATGTTTTCATTGAGGGCAGGCCCTAGGTCCACGTCAGCGAAAGTCTGAATGGGAGGGGGGACGTTCTCACCGGAAGTCTCGACAGGGATGTCATCATAGGCGTCAAAATTGATACCAGTGTTCTCAGCCTGAAACAACTCTGATTCGCGTTCTTTCTCATCCTTGGCAAAGGGGTCATCCTCCCTAAAAGAACCGCCACCACCCCATCCTTGGCGAGATCCACTACCACCTGCACCACCGTTGCCCCAGCCAGCTCCGCCACCGCCCCTGCCAGCTCCCGCACCTCCTCCTCCTCCTCCTCCTCCTCCTCCTCCTCCACCCCACCCACCGCCGGGCTTTCCGCCGCCCGCCCACGCGCCGCCGCCACCGCCGCCAGCAATAGCACCTCCCGCCCACGCACCCCTAGGCGGCGGCCCTACGATTGCCGGTCTGTTATCTTCTCGTATGACCGGTCCCGCATATCCTCCTGGTAATTGTGGAGGTGGCCCTAGAACCACAGGTCCCCCTCTGCCGTCTGCCTGGCCTGCCGACGGCGCGATTTGACGATTTCTCAAGTGTGGCGGAACATACGAGGAGCGAGAACCGCGATTACCCGAAGGCGCATTGCTTCTGTCATTCGGCTCCGCCTGTGCATCCCCCCAAGCAGTAAGCATACTTCCCTTCTTCCCCTCTCTCCTTGCGGCGCTCCCACCACAGCCACCTCTCTCTCTCTCTCTCTCTCTCTCTCTCTCTCTCTCTCTCTCTCTCTCTCTCTCTGTGTGTGTCTGAGTCTGTGTCTGCTTGTATAGGTTTGCGAGACAATTGCACTCTAGTTGGCAAGCTCCTTTGTTCACAGTGGCGCGCTCGACGTCACCCTTGGTGCTTGTACGTTACTTCAACTCACTCTCCAGATGATTGGATACCTGCTGCTTAATTAGCCATAGTGAATAGACCGTGTCACAAACCGCAACTCCCTCTCCCTCGTCCCTCTTCCCTCCTTTCGCCTTCAGTTTTCCTCCCGTGCGTCTCTCCTCTCTCCCTCCCTCCCCCCTCCCTTCCCTCCTTCCCTACTACCCTCCCTTCTCCCTCCCCCTCAACCTGACTCGCTGGTTCGCCCGATTACGTCACTTGCTGTCGGACCGATAACCAATGCACTCTTTCGTCCCTTCCCACTTCCCCGCCGCACCGTCGCCTTCTCCTCTGCGGAGTCTTCTATGAACCACAATAAAAGACGCTCATTTCCCTCTATTGCCTTCTCGCAATTGTTTTCGCCCCCGAGTCCTCTTTGGACACCCTCCACTCCTCTGCTGGGCGGTCCCTTCCCTCTATCACCAGCGATACCTGATTGCGTGCCTGATTGCAAAAAGCGGTCGGCGCGGTCCAGTGGTGCTGAACGACCGCAGAAATTCCCATATTAGAAGGCTACGCTATGCGTCTTCTGCCCCTCTCACCATACCCCACCCCTTACAACCAAGCATACATCGAGCCGCCCTGGTCCTTCCTTCACTCTCCTTCCTGGACCGTACACCTACTCCCACTCGTTACCTTCCAACCCGCCAAACGCAATCGATGACCGCCTGCTCCTCGGTACATCCTCACCGACAGTTCGTTCAAGAGGACGCCGTCCACCGGCCTGCCTGCGCCCCTTACCGCTTCCGCCTCTTCGCCTTTCAGCCGCCTATGAACCCAGGACCGCACACCAGAGGGCGGTCAAGGACGAGCCGGACCGACGCGGGACGGCAGACGCGCAGCTACCGGTACCATACCATACAGCGAGGTCAGGTGGGGGGCCTGGTGCCCGAACTGCCACGGGGGACGACACCGAAGCGTTGGGCCCCGTATGTGGCCCCAAACATGTTCACATTTAGACTCCTGTTGTCAGAACCACCCAAATCACACCGGGTCGGGAAGAGATCGATCAGATCCACAGCACTAACCCTTGTCCTTCATCGGTCGTGGTCCCATAGGAGTATGGCGGCACCACCTTGGTCATCCGAATTCTGTCTGTGATTGATGCAAGGGCGTCGATCACAAGAGAGCACCAGGACAGATCCTTGTTGGTGGTAACTGCCTCATTTGACCCATAGACGCCTGAACACAGCCCATAGATTGCACCAGTACCAGGGCCTGGGGGACCAAGCCCCGTAGAAGCCAGTATCAAAGCCCAACTGTAGTAGCCTGAAACAGGGTGTCTATGTTCGCAGCCCGTCAGGGTTGCGTTTTACCCCCCTGAGACTTTCAACGTCATTGAAAATTTCAACGTCAGTGGTCGTTGGAGAGGGTGGGTATTTTGAGGTTTTGGGGGCTTGGAAGGGGCGAGACAACGTAGGACCGGTAGCTGCCCATAGGCGGCTGAGGAAGCCACGGTCCTTGAGTTTTTAACATTTTGAAATCGAAACGACGCAGGTAAACTTTTCTCAAAGAGATGAGCACTTCGAATAGAACACGTACACATTGTTCTATTCAAATTTCAAATAAAAACTCTTGTATTCCAATAACATTATATATATTTTTTTTTTTTGGAGGTCAGCGCTTGCCCTTGTGCT